ATCATAAGGTTAGGACTAGAATCTTTATTTCAGAGTTAGTAAATGAATACTGTAAATGTGGTTAAACATTCCTGGGATGGAAAAGAAAAAAGAAAACATGTGGAAAACTAAATAGTGACTGTCCCTGATAGAAGACAGGATTAAAAAGAAAAGCTATGAAAGGGAGAGAGACAGATGTAGCCTGAAGAGTACCAGGTACACAGTAGGAACTCAATAAATATTTGTGAACTAAAAGAATAAACAAATGCAAGAACAGTCAAACATAAAAAATGAACCAGAATAGTAGTATGTTGATAGTAGACAGAAAAAAAGATCCATGGAGACAGTGGTTGATAATACTAATCACTGCAGAGAAACAACAAATAAAAACATAACAACAAAAACAAAAGACCCTAAAACACTGAAGATGTCATCAGTGATCTGAGTAAAAAGAGTTAACAGATGTCATCAGTGATCTGAGTAAAAAGAGTTAAAACTGATCAAGACTAGACTACAAAGAATTCACAAAGGAATGAGTTACTAAATAAAGTGGCAGCAATATTTGGTCTGCAAATATTTATTATGTGTCTTTAATGTGAGTGCTAGGCATTTTTCTGAACTCTAGGAATATATAAGTGAACAAAATAGAAAAATAAATCCCTACCCTTGTGGAACTTACAGTCTAGAAGGGGCGGGGTAGGAGATAAGGACACATAAACAAAGGAGCAGGTAAAACCATATCTGCTTGAGAGGCTTAGCAGAGGAATGACAAAAACTGGATCGTAGCCTGAGAAACCATCTAGGGTCCTACTTCTCAGGGCATCCAGAGAAAGGTCTCCACAGTCCATACTGGTTGTTTCTTAGATTGGCAAATTGACCATGGAAAGAAGAGAGGAAGAGCCAGTAGATGAACCATACCAAATAGGATGAACAAAAGTAGTATCATACCTGGTTTGAGATGCTGGAAACTGCTGCTGTGGGAATATTGGCAACTGCAGATGAAGTGGGTATCAGGCTGGCATTTGTGCTTGAAGCTAGAGGATTGAGAGTGTTAAGCAATATTAAGGATGTTATGTAAAAGGCTAGAAGAAATTGAAAATATATCTTAAGTAAATAGATCTACAAGGATATAAAGAACATTAACAAAGAAAACAAATACTGGTTTTGTTCTTTTGTAAGTTATACCGTAATTTAGACTTGATTAGATAAAACAGTTCAAAAATTTTCCTGTTTCAACTTGAGTCTTCAATTATTCCTACTAAAGTCCTAGAAAGATACATACACAATGCGCTGGGGTTCATACTAATGATACCAATGAAATTAGAAGCTAAACCAAATGACTGCAGTCCATCTTCTCCAGCAGTTGAAAATGACTCACCTGTAACATGGTGACAATCAGTAGAAACAAGAGCTCTGGTAAATACACATGTAAATCTGACACTGTGATTTATTGTCACTTGCTCCAAATTATTCTCTTCCTGATACAATATAATTACTTTGAGAGCTGGTCCTCCAAATTCTAAAGTGTTGGAGTTGCTTCTTGGGTGCTACTCAAATAATGGATTATTAATGTGGATCGACAAACACCATGATCCAGCATTTAATGATTTTACTAATGAGCCCGGAAAAACTCAGAAAATATTCAATATTATTCTGGCCAGGTAAAAATGTACTCTGTAAACTAATTAGGCTGTCTGTCTTGGGATAAAGAATTTGGGTTAAGTTTTTCATACTCTTTTACCACAGATTCCACCTGGGTTTTAATCAAATCCTCAGTGACTAGTATTTGCCACAGAGACTTATTTCAAGTGGACAATGTAACTGTGATTGAGGTACTGGTCTTGAATTTCTCTCATTCACATATCAGAAGCACACTTTGCTATGGTCCCCACTGCAGTCACAAACACCGTAAAGGTTCAGCATCAGGTAGACCAGACTATCTGACGACCTAGCCCATTAGCAACAAAGACTTCTAAAGGGAAAGTTAACAGGAAAACCTCCATTAAGAATAGGGCAGGTAAACAAATGCAGTAGAAATTTGAGAGTGCTGGTCAAAATCAGAGGGAATTGTTTATCCAGGATGTTCTGCTTAGAAGAAAGTCTAGAGGAAATTAAGGTAAATTAGATATAAGTAACAGCCACTACTGTAATGTCAGCTTTCAGATGAAGAATGTGGGACAAAAAGAGTTAAAGTAATTTGTCCATAGTCATGGAGCTAGTTGTAGAAATACAGTCAAGATGACTGAGATTTCCCAATTCTTCATCAGTTGCAAATTTAAAAACAAAAGCAGCAGCAATAAAATATGCAACAAAAGATACAAATTTAGAGGATCAAATAAAAACTCAAATAGTAAACTCCAATTTATATATATGTAAAGGCTATTAGCTCTCCAAATGCTAATGGCCTGGCCAACTGTTTTAGATAGTCTCCACTCCTGTTTTGACAATGGAGCTGTAATATCATAGAAGGACAAAGCTTCTGAGAACCATGCCCCCTTGAGGTCCACCTAATAGAGTCAATATACAGAAGGCTGTGGTTATAAAACTGAGAGGCACAGATGAATTAAGTGACATTGCCCCAAAGCTGGAGGATTAACCTGAGGGTTAATGGCACATAAAAGTTGGTGCAAGATTTAGTTTCTACCCACCCCTTTAATTTTACATGTTTCTCCACCGCCCTTGCTCACCTTGGCTTTAGAGTTACTCAAAACAAGAGAGGCTCTTTCTCACAGGAGGACCTTTCCAATATTGTTCTCTGCTTGGATTGTTCTCTCTGGCCTGTCCTCCTTGTCTTCCCAGCGTGATGGCTCCTCCTTCTCAAGAGACTCTCTCTGACCCCTCTATTAAAACTCTTTTCTTGTTTTTCCCAATCACAGTAATCTATTCTTTTTTCCTTCAGAGCATTTTTCAAAATCTATATATTGCTTGTTTTCTATCTCCTCTACCAGTCTGTAGGTCCCATGAAGGCAGAATCTTATTATCTTATCCATTATCTGGCAAAGCGCTCGGCCTACAGTAGGTGATGTTCCATAAATACTTGTAGGATTTGTGAATATCTTATATACATGTATAACTTGTAAAATTTATGTATAGCATGTCGAGGTCATTGAAAACAAGGAAAGTCTGAAAAACTGCACAGTCAAGAGGAGCCTAGAGACATGACAATTAAATGAAATGTGGTATCCTGGATGGGATTCTGGAACAAAAAAAGGATATCAGGTAAAAACTAAGAAAATCTGAATAAACTATAGATTTCATTAATAATAATATTGTACCAATATTGGTTCATTAATTGTAACAAATATTCTATTTTAATGTAAGATGTTAATAATAGAGGAAACTGTACAAGGTGGGGGGATATATATGACTGTATTATGTGGTATCCTGGATGGGATTCTGGAACAAAAAAAGGATATCAGGTAAAAACTAAGAAAATCTGAATAAACTATAGATTTCATTAATAATAATATTGTACCAATATTGGTTCATTAATTGTAACAAATATTCTATTTTAATGTAAGATGTTAATAATAGAGGAAACTGTATAAGGTGGGGGGATATATATGACTCTGTATTATCAATTTTTTTATAAATCTAAAACTATTCTAAAAAATGAAATCTATAAAAAAAACAAATCTGGTCAATGAAAGAATACTGTGTATTGCCAACACCGGAGCCCAAAGATATTCATTAAAAGTCAAGGTTGAATTAAAATTAATTTTGAAATTTCTGTAATTTTGCCACTTAAATATTAATCATTTAAACCATCTCAACTAAAGAAAATAAGCAGAGAATGGGCCACATACTAACAGACACTCTAGGAAAAGATTGATATAAGGAACCTGATCTACTTAATCCAAGGGTTTTCGTGAGTACTGAGGTATAAATTAAAGGTTTTGATCAGAGTTGATCAAGCCACCAGTGGAATTTGGTTTGGAAGAGGGGTCACTGATGTTTTGACCACTTAAAAAAATCAATATAATGATCTTTGTTTTTATTCTGTAGCATGACTGGGTAGTTACACAGGGGGAAGGAATAAGTCCTGGAGAGCTAACATGAATTGTCCATGCTAAAGAAAATGAAAGGGGGGGAGGGGCAGAGAGTGATATTGACCGTGGAGAACCCAGGTAATTTAAATGTGCCAATAATACCCATATTTCATATTAGCCAATTGTTTCAACTTGTTTTCTACCAATTTTTTCTTCAGAATAAATGGGGGAAAAAAAGGAAAAAAATCGAGACTTAATGGTGAACTTCTTTAAAAAAAATTTTTTTTTTTTAATTTGAATTAGTTGATATTCAACTTGGCGAACTTCTGCCTTAATTTCTACCCTTTGCCAAAGTTCTAATAAGCAATAAAATGGACCAACAGGTTAACCAGAAAAGAAGAAGAAAATTTTAAATATTTGCCAATACAGGTTCTCAATTATGGTAGGGTTGGTATTGACACCATGACTTCAATAGTGAAAATCATAAATATTGCATTCATGCTCTGGGGTCAGACTGTCCAGCTTACATTCTGACTTAATTATTTACTAACTTTGTGACTTTGGACAAGTCACTTTGCTTTTCTGTGTCTTATGTTCCCTTCAAAATGGGATTAATAATAGTACTTCCCTCATAGGTATGTTTTGAAGATGACATGAATAATACCTATCTATTGCTTAAAACAATATTAAGAACATAGTAAACACTTAATAAAACCAGCAATG